TTACTCTCAGCCAAAACCAACTCTCACCTTGCTTGAGAACATTTAAATTCTTGGTTTTCTTCTCCTGTACTTCTCTTACATTTTCCGTGCTTATCTCTTCCTGGCTGTAGGCAGGCTGCGGGGCAGGGCCATCCCCACTCGTCCTTCAACCTGGCAGTGGGGACACTCAGAAACATGACCATGGCACTTGAAGAAGGGTGAGATAATCCTCTTCCTTCCCATTACAGCTTCACTCCCATCTCCTCTTGGGGACAGGAGGAAACCTGGTGCTGTAGGTACTCTACGCATGAAGCCACTCCAGCATTTCTAATGCCCTCTTTTTGTATTGTCAGTAATGCAGCCCTGCCTGCAGCAGGGAAATGGGAAAACACAGTCCAATGACGTTTTAAAAATAGTGTGTCACAGTACCTATAATGCCCGTGGTCTGATTGCATATGTTTCTCCATGATGATTTCCCAGTGAAAGCAAGGGACAAGACCTATATTGGTATAGAAAGAGCTGTTGAAGTGACATGTGAATTTTTTGCTATAAAGACCTGTCTTTCTCTTATAAGGGAGAAACTCTCCCTTTTCACTCTCCTTCCATGTCAATGGAGAAGCTTCCTGCTGACTGCCTGGGAGCTGGGTTGAAACTGCCTGGCACGAGTTTTTCTCCCTGACGTGCACATGCACATTTCACACCAGTGTTCCCAGCAAGGCCCACAGATAAAGAAAACTTGCCTTGTGCTTTGTATAGTCACTGTGGCAACTTGTCCTAGGGCTAAGTGAAGTTGAAGAAACTGATCCCATCACAGTGAAACCCAGCCCTTTTTTGATTTTGTGTATCATTCAATTTTAATTATTTTCATTTGCTTCAAGCCTGAAAATAAAAACTGAGGCTGGAGCGAGCAGTTGTACTCTAAATGAAACTAAAAAAGTGTTGTTCGGACAAACCTTGTGATTTGAAGCCAGTGCATTTTGTTTCAGTCTCCACTGCATATTGCATGATCAGGCTCACATATTGGGTGGCATATCAAGAAATCCAAAACCATTTCTCCTTCAACTAAGATAAAACACCAAACCCAGAACATATGTGCTCAAACCACAGGAAAAAGCAGAAGGAAAATCAGATCATTTTCTGAATAGAGGAGAGTTAACTTTACAGATGTTTTCATATTCAGTAGCTGTGGTCCTCTTATAAAAGCCTGTGTAATTAAAATTTAGCTAGGAATGAATTTAGGATTTCCTCCTAGATTTTCTTGATGAAGGTTTCATGTCCTTCAGGGAAGTGGAGAAACTCCTCAGTGTGGCAGCAGCCCATGGGCTCTTAGAAGCTCAGCAACTTTTGGAAAACATCAAGAGCAGAAACCTTCCCTGAATGACTGCCACAACACGGATGCTTGTACAACCTTGTCTTCTTCTGCACTCAGCAACCCCGCCTTCTCCTTGCTGACTGCCTAGTCTTCAGGAATTTGAGTCATTCACTAGACATTACATTTGCTTTGTGATGCATCTTCATGGTCAGATCTATAGCAGTCATGTGCTGCTGCTCCATCTCCATTTGTTTCCCGGCTTGCCACTTGTGAAGACCACTGGAAAGGTGAGATGGAGGAGATCAGTAGCCTTCAAGGTTATACTGATGATGAGCATATGAATATTTTTGAAAAAAACTCCCATCACTGTTGTACCAACTCATCTGCTAATGCTAAGTTAGATCCAAATATTCATTTTGGCTTGGTGCAGTGTTGCTTGCATGTTTGTGCCACCTTTCATGCTCTGCTTATGCATTGAGATAACTGATCACGACTAAGGCTGTAAATCAGCATGACATGCATGCATGATCCATTTGTACTGGAAATTACTGTGATTTAATAGAAAATACAAATTATGCTCTCACTTAGCAGCTAGTGTTCCTTATCGACATTACCATTGTCGTGCCAGTTCTGGGGAAAAGAAATTCAATTTAATGGAAACTACCTTCATTTTCAGGGTGGTCTCAGTTTAAAACCACAGTGAGCAATTGCATTTCACGGGACGTGTGCTCACTAAACAAAGACCTGCAGAGTTTTGCTAGCAATAAAATTATTTCCCAGGGCTTTTGTTGGTGTGCAATGTTTTCCTTCTTCCTACCATGATTATTCAGCTCACTTGTTGCATGACACAAAGTCCTGCACTCCCCTGGATGCCTGAGGCCACACTGGTGAGCCTGAGAACAAGGGGCTGCCACTGAGGGAACAAATGGAACGGCAAGCTCATGGTGGGGTTCAAGCTTTGGTTTCTGAGAATTGCTATTGTGCCATGATTCGTAGGCAAAGGTGTGAAGGATTTTATCCAGGCTCCCATTTTCCTGTCCCCTCTTGGATGTCAGCCTCAGTATCTTTCTAGGGTGATCCTGGCAACAACTGGGGGGTATCCCAGCTGGCACAACATGCCAGCCCCCTGCACAGTGGAGACTGGTGGAGGTTGTGTGATGGCCACACATTAAGGAAGGGATGGCTGGGCTTTGCTTCTTTTCCTCCTGGCTGTGCCCAGGCTGGGCTCCTCAGGGCCAGCTCTATATCCTGCTCCCAACAGGGGAGGGACAGAGAGGAGACCTCTGGCCTGGCTCCCTCAGCTCGACCCTGTCAGCATGCTGCACAGCAGCGCTCTCAGTTGTGGGGCAGCTGCCTGCTCCCCCCACTCATCTCCTTTCTCTCTCCCTCCCACACAGCCCTTTGTTAAATCTGGTACCACAAACTGCACAGCAGAGCAGAACTCCAGATGAGTTTCCCTGTTTCCTACTCCTCAAGCAGAAAAGCAAGACACCATTTGCCAACTCAAAAAGGAGCTTATTTCCATGGCCTCTTTCATGGCCCTGAGCCAGGACCCTTTGAAGGCAGGGGAATATTTCCCTTGACGTGAGGCTTGTACTGCATCACATCTCATACCCTGCCCTTTATTTCTCATATGCATGAGCAGTAGCCCTTGATTTAGAAACCAGACCTATGCTTTACATCTCCTATATAGAAATATGCACCAATGAAGTGCACTAGGCATCCTTTCCAGGCCTGTGGTACCCTTCTTTCTGTGCCTGTGAGCAGGAAAACCTTGTCTTTGCCTCCACAAAACAGCATCCACCTGGCAAGTAACATGAGGAGCTGTCTCAAAACCACTCTGAAACCCAGAACCAGTGTGTGCTGCCACTCTTCTACCCCCAAAATCATCCTCCTTGTTTTCTCTATCCTCCCTAAGTGCAGTAGCCAGTGTCAGAGGCATATCCAAGCACGGTTGCAGAGTGACATATGCTGTTGCACACTTCTGCCAACCAGTGATGGCCAAACTCATGCACCTTTCACACCTTTCCTATTGCCACTGGGTGCAGGATGATGCTATTAGCGGCCCAGATATGACATAAGCTCACCTGGGTATGTGAGGAGCAAATATGTAACACTTACCTGGGTATGTGAGGAGCAAATACACAGAAGGCCTGGTGAGCAGGATCATTGTATTTCACACTGTGCTGGATTGCCCCTGGCTGGATGGCAGATACCCATCAAGGCTGTTCTCTCACTCCCCTCTGCAACTGGGCTGGGGAGAGAATATGCAGCAAAACGTTCATGAGTTAAGGACTGGAGGATGCCACTCATCAAATATCATCATGGGCAAAACAGACTGAACTTGGGGATATTAATTAAATTTAGTACTGAAAAAATCAGAGCAGAATAACTAAAAAGAAAATAAATTTTAAAGCCAACTTTTTCCTCATCCCCCTCTCCTTCCGTTGCTCTACTTCCTCTTCTCCCAGCAGTGCAGAGAGATGGGGAATGGGGGTTATGGTCAGTCCACCACAGCTGTTTCTGCCACTGCTGCCACCTCAGGGGGAAGAGTCCTTCTGCTCCAGTGTGAGGTCCCTCCCAGAGGAGACAGTTTTCCGCTAACTGCTCCAATGTTGGTCGCTTTTCATGGGGTGTACCCCATGTGCTTTGGCCACAATTACATCTGTGCAGTAACTTTTTTTCCGTTCTTAAATATGTTATCACGAAGGCATTACTCTCACTCCTGACTAGGCCAGCCTTAGCCAGCAGCATGTCTACCTTGGAACCAGCTGGCATTGGCTCTGTCACACATGGGGGAAGCTTCTGGCAGCTTCTCACAGAAACCATCCCATAGCCCCCCTCGCTATCAAAATATGGCCACACAAACCCAGTACACACAGGACTTAAGGAATCACCTTTTACAGTCCCCCAGCTGAAATGAGAGAGCAGGTTTTTGTATGCTGATCAATTTTCCCACCTGAACCCTTGCACAACAACAAAATTGGCACTAGCAACCATAAGATCCTGCAGCCACCAGGCAACAAGTCAGCCTCAAGGTTCATGCTGCCTTCACTTCAGTAACAGGGCTTAATAATTTTGTTTGCTTTCTCAAAAAAACAGCTGTTTTGGAATATAACATATCAGCTGTAATTTCCTTACTGGTATACATATTTTTACAATGGGTGAGTGACCTATCTTCCATTGCTATCCAAGTGTCCCTCTTTACTAAAAAAGAGTAGTAAGAACTGGACAAGAAATCTTTGCATACAACTTTGCACATGATTCAACAGAAAGAAAACAATTGTTAGTTTAATAAAGTCAGTTATCAAAGCAGCAGGAGGAAGCTATTGGAACTCAGGGTGATGATGAGATTTTACTAGAAAAAGATGTTCACTGTTTTCCTGCAATTTACGGGATTAGTGCTTGCATTTTTACCTTTGCACCACCTCCTCTTGAAACACAAGTGTCTCCCGCCCCAATTGCTGTTCATACAATTTTGCCCTGGATGTTCTTTCAGTTCGAGGTATTGCAGTTGATGGCTGAGAGTGCACACATTCACCTTCCTCCTGTTTTTTTTCTTTTTCTCCCCAGATCTGCCTTGCCATGGCTGTTCTGGCTTCTGGTAGATGTGGGCACCTTGTTCCCCCTTCAGGGAATGGCCCCCACTTGTGGGGCACTAGTCCCACACAGCAGTGTCTGGACCTCCCTGACAGCTGCTAGCTTTCCCCTCCTTGGCACTGCCTGTACTCAGGCAATTAGAAGGATTTTCTTTCCCAAAACACAGCTCCAATTATAATCTAATTTATTTTATTTGAAGTACAGTTTGGTAGTATTTCCATTATGCAAATATCAATTTATTATCCTCACATTATGTTTTGACTACAGTTGTGCTGCTAATTAGAGGTAATTTAAGTGCTTTTAAAAACCTCATCCTTTCCTCTCCATGCACCCTTACTTCCTTGCAAACCACACAGTGCAGATATTTAGCACGGAGTCAGTGATGAAAACCTGCAGTTATCAGCTCCGTTTGCATCACTCTAATTGACTTTCATTATGTTAGAAAGCACTTAGAAAGCACGATTTTTTCTGATTTACTTGGGATTGGAGATGGAGACATGAAAGAGGAAGGTAACTTACTCCAGTTGCATTTCTAACATTTTTCTGCTCAGACTTTCAAGTGCATTTGGTGTGGCTCTCCCAGTACTGACCATGCTGCTGCCTTTGGCTGAGGGGGAAAATTAGAATTATATAATTGCTAACCTAGGAGAGACAGGATATTCCTGTCATAAGAGAGAGAGAAAAGCTGACCCCAGGAATTTGGCTGAAAAAATCCTAAACCTGGCTGTTGTGGAGGTATTTGTGTGTCCTGTTTAGCACCACCAGCAGAGGCCCTAGGTAACTAGGATAAACTCTGTAACAGCAATTCCCATCTACTCTGGCTGAAGGCGGCAGGAAGACTGTAGGTTTTGGTCATGGAGGCTGCCCAGCTTGGTATGGGCCTTAGAAGGTGGGCAGTGGAGGTTTTTTGGGGGAAAAATGAGGCAGCCACAGGGAGATGTGTGGGAATAGGGACTAGGCAGTGGGAATTTATGGAGGGCTAAGAGAGTCTGTCCCTGCCATCCTTAAAATACCCACAGGATTACTCCTCCCAACCCCTTTTACATTAACCACGTCTGCTATCCACTTTTCTTCAAAAGACTTTTCTGTTGGGCATGTTAGGGGTGTCTGCTTCCACAGCTCAGGGCCGGGAGGGATCCTACCTGCTATGCAGGTGGAAAAAAGGTTTCTGCCTCCCAAAGCATCTTCAGGGCCATCCCAGTTTTATTTGGCTGGCATGTTTTTATGACCACTGAAATGTTGTTTTACCAAACATTTTGAGGAACACTCAGAGCTTCCCAAGAAGATGACTTTTAGCAGGGGAGGGGAGTGTTAATGCCTATAATAAAAGCCCACAAAATGATCAAACCCATAGATGGCTAAAGAAGCTGTGCAGCTCTGGCTTTGAAGTGCTTGCTTCAGCAGTAGCTGAACATTAGGGGTCCCCAGTGGACTTTCAAAAGCTTTGTTAGGAAAAAAAAAATAAAAAAAAAAAAATAGAAAAGGACTGAAGCTTTCCTGAATTTGTCTACAATATAAATCCCAATACCCCACCTACCTACCAGGCAAGCTCTGTTGATACCAGGGGCGAAAAAACAGCATTAATGGTCTGACGTTAAAAGAAGACAGCAGCCGCTGTGCTGTGCCTACAGAAACCCGGGGCTCTCAGAGAGGGCCTTTTCTTTCTGCCCAAAGTCAAGCTTCAAAGCTTCCTGCTCCGTTTTGTTCTTAATTGAAAGTGTTATTGCAGTGGGAAGGGTTGTTTTTGTTTTGCCAATCCCCTTCCCCGCTTTTAGTTTATTTTCCTCAGGAGATATTATCTTTCATTTGCAGAGTGAATTCAGCATCCTGTAATGGAGACTTAATGGTTGTGGGTGGGTTTAGGGGAAGCTCTGCTGTGGCACTGCCACACTGCACCAAACCTCCTCCAGCTGGGAAGGAGCTGGGCTCTTCCCATAGGAGAGGAATTGGCGGTGTGGTTAAGCAGATCATTTGCACTTTTTGCATCCATCAGATGCTGACAAGGCAAGGGCCACGAGGCCTGGAAAAGTTCTCTGTGTCTTGGGAAACCTGCTCAAAGCCTCTGGCTGGGGCATTGGTGTTGTTCCTATCTCTGGGAAGGGAGGAGATCTTACCTACAGTGCAGTCAACTTCAAGAAAGCCACTTTGTTAAACATTCCACCACTATATAGCAGTACTTTAAGGAGACCCCCAGAAAGGCAAGACACAATGGATTTGTCTTCCTGAGGCTAAAATAAGTATTATAATAAAAGTGTCCAACAAGACCTGACAGCACTTTAAAGGGCTGTCATTTCAGTGTCCTGCAGCTGACAGCTCTGTCATTCAGCTCTCAGACATTATCGCATATGATACTCCACATCGCTTTCACTTATGAATTAAAAAGGTACAAATACTGTAATATAAGTGTCCTTAGCACGCTAAGAATTTCTTAAGGTAAGACAGATGCAAGATGAGCTTTGCATTTCTACTTGGTTCATGTTCTGCATGGGATGCTCCCTGGCAGCTGCTCAGAAGGATTTAGGGCCTTTTGCAAAACCATCTCTGCCACACAGTGGGGAGCTGCTGGGACAGCAGCTAGCAACATTCCCTGTCCATTGGCAAATTCCGTTTTTGTTTATTTTGGTGAAAGTCACAACACCCTGAAACTATGAAAGGTTATTGAAAACCTGGATGGGAAGGTGTTAATTAAAGGTGGGCCCTCAGGCCTCTCTGGGAACACACCTTGGCAGGACGCTGAGTGGTGCAGGGGATGCTGCAGCCCACAAGAGCTGGCAGTGCACTGTCAGCCCCAGCACAACTTTGCATCACAAACCCAGCCTTAGAAACGAACACCGAGGTGTATCTTGTCTCATCCCCTGCCATGTACAGGGAAGAAAAGTAGTACAATGCAAAAATCCAGTTCATCTCTCTCTGCCCCACCAAATGCCTTGGTGCATGTCCTGTGGCTCTTTCAGACGAGCACTGTAAGATGGAGGGGCTACTGGGTTGAAACCCAGAGGACACCCTGGACATGGGAGAAAAAAAAAGACCTTCAAAGAACAAAAACCAAACAACAACAACAAAAAACCAAAACAAAACCAAACTGTAGGTCTTTCTCTCACATTTTTACTATGCTTGCCTTAAATATGGGATTAATAAGAGGCATTGAAATATAGTCACATTATAACCCAAAATGAGTTCACAAAAGGAATTAAGTCTTCCCTTAAGAAAAGACAAATGTCTGGACACTGTTTGGAAAATGAAAGCTAAAGTATCATCTATAGCTGAGGTACAGCAGCAGGTGGCTCTGACAGAAACAAGGGTATTCCCTCCCTCCCCACCTTTCATCTTGTCTGCTCAGGGAGGGATTCGTAGATTTTGGGAGAAGAGCCTCTCAGAAGTGGAAAATATTTTCTCAGAGTTCAGAGAAAATAGAAGAATCGGGATGACAACCTCTACCTGTTGCTACCACACATCCAGTACTTCTCCAATTCCCTGTAAAGCAACCATTTAATCAAGGAGTCAGTTTGACAAAATTAGAATAAACTCTGCTGGAGCTTAATGATGACCAGATCCTTTTTACTGACAGTTTTCCTCCAAAAATGAATTGCAGGCTGTCATGGACTCTGTCATAGCTGACTTTCACCTGGCTCTCCCATTTGCCACTCACATCAATATGGCTTACTGCCTTAAGAAGAGCAAAATTAGCCAAATTAGCCAAATTTCCCCCTTTCCCATATGATTCACCCAGCACAACAACGGTTGGTACTCACTTGTTTCCCAAAATGCCTGTGTGGTGGTGTCCAAGTTCACCAACACCAATTTGTTGTTTGGTGACCAAGGTCACCAACAGCATTTTTATGAAACACTTTTAGCAAAATACCAGTGGCTTTGCCCAAGCTCTAATAAATATCTGCTTAAGATGAACTGAATCCAGCAGGGACCTGACTCTTAAGTCCCAGTTCAGCAGCACAATTAAGTCCACACTTAAATTATTTTCTATTAAATTATTTTATAAAGTGGGATGAACAAATGAGTCAGGGCCTTGGGTCCCTGTCATGTTCAACAGTTCCCAAGCTGTTTTCCCAAAGCTTAGTCACAAAACAGCAGTAAGAACTGTAACAGAACTCAACTTTTCAATGATGAGGGGCAAACCCACTTGCACACATTTTCCTTCTTACATGAGGTAGGAACCAGACCAGTAAGTAGTTTCCTGTAGCCATTGAAAGATATGATTTAGGATAATTTTTCTTCCGATATATATATATATATATGATGGCTGAAAACTGTAGAATGAAAAGCCTTTTGTGGATGCTCCAACATTTAGAAAATACTGACTAAAATGTATTCTCATCATCCAAAGGATGAATGCTCGGCAGAGAGGTGGAGGAAAGGCTCCACTGCCACCGAGGACAGGCGCAGCATTGCCAGGACAGCTGCTCCTTTCCTGACCACCTTTACACCTGACTCTATGAGGGCAACAAGTTTTGTGAGCAAGTCTCCCTTCTTTCTGATACCCATGGGCAAGGACCATCTTGTCCTACCCCCTCCAGAGGATGAGGAAATTAATTCAGTGTGAGAAGGTAGTTGAAGAGCCACCCCATCCTGGTAGCCAGCTCAAACAGCAGGATTTGTTTCTCACTTCACGGCATGAGGGTGCATCATGCTGGTTTCTGCTCTCCAGTACTGAGCAGGCTAATGTACTTCAAACTGAAGCAGGCTCCTCCAAGCTTAGCATGGCTCTGATTGCAGAGCCTCTGCAATCTTGAGTAATTATCATTGCCAAGGGCTCCTCAGAGTTCAGCACAAGGACCTCCGAAATTGCAGTGCTGCAGATGAGTCCCCTCCCCCAAAATTCTTTCTGATGGTCTCTTCTGTTTCTGACCCTAAGTGCTGCTGGGAGAGTTGGGAAGGGGAAGTCTGTTCAAAATAAGAGGGCCAGGTAAAGAAAGGCCTCCTTTCTTCAGTTTCAAGTTCAGTTTCAAGGGTGCAGCACTAACACACCATTTTTCCTGCTGCTCACAGCACTTCTCAACACCACTGTTCATGGACCAGCTCGTAAAGGGAGGGGTTGTTGTTCCCACTGGCTGGGACTATGAAGCACATAGGTGACTATGAACCATAGGTGGTGAGCAGGATTTCACACTGCAGACACCCTCTCTTGAAAACTAAAAGTGTAGTCTGGAGTGTCAACACAGACAAGTTCATTTCTTGAATTTAAGGGTAGGGCTATGCCAGCAAGCAACTGCCTTCATGAAACTAAAAAGATGAGGGTGGCAGAGGAGGCTAACAATTCATGGCAGTGCAAAGATCCAGCCCCTGCAAATGACATCCCACTTGAAGACACTGCTTGACATTAAACCCATCATGAGTGCAAAACCTGATTGCTCTGGGGGTGGGCACAGGATATTTTCCTGTAGCTTGAACCACAGCTCAGCTGTGACATTTTTGCAGCAGCACAGGAAAAAAATGGAGAATTACTGGATATTTCAAAAACTGAAGAGAGAAAAAAAAAAATAAACCAGCCACCAGCCTAGGATTTAGGGGAAAAAACATTAGCTTGAGCTGCCAAGGAAGAACAGAGAAACCAGCAGGGAGGCTCTGGAAAAAGCCAACAGAGGAAAGGTCAAAATACTGATGCTCTGCAGTAGAGCTAAGGAATGGATGCCCAGGGCAAAGTCACAGAAAAGCCTCAAGGCCAGAAGGTTCAGTTCCTCTGCCAAAAGAGCTGCCTTTCACTTAGTCCTGTCCCTGAACAGCGACAGGGCAGAGTGCAGGGTCAGGGAAGCCCCTCTGCCTAAGGGCATTTCTCTGATGCTGCCCCTCCCATTCAGTGTCCCTGCACACCTGGGGAAGCAGCCCAGCAGGAGCCTGCAGAGCCCTCCCACTGCTAGCATCCTCTCCTGCCCCCTGCACGGCATGCCAGAGCCAACTCACCTCTGAACTGTGCTTTGTTGGAATGTGCTTCAGCAGCTTAAGCTATTTATTAGTCCATGCATCATGAAGCCATGCACCACTCATGAGGTTTACCTGGAAAGCCCACAGTGTTATACTTGTAATGAGGAGTCTGTAGTCAGTGCTGAGAGCATCCCAGTGCAAGACCCAAAACTCAGGCTGTGCCACTGCAGGAAGAATTGCAGTGTCCTGGGTACAATGCTCTGGCTCCACAAACATATTTGGGTTCTGGGTTTTTACAGGGTCCTTTTCCAAAACTCTTTAGGTAACTCGATGGTTCATAAATCTTCTTCCACTGAGAGCCACTGGGGTGCGTGTATGGCCAGAACAGTTCCAAAAGAATAAAAAATATTAGTCCATGGCTCACTAAGTTAGCATCACTGCTCATCTGGAACACAAGAAGCTACTTCTCCAGATCAGGAAGAGAAAGCTCATTTTAGGCACCAAAAAGTTTTCCATGGTTTCCTGCTGGAATAACTGCAGCCAGTAAATTCACTTCCAGGAGAAAACACTCAAGAGTCCACAGGGATTCACAACTGTATGGAGAAACAAGTGCCTCAAAAATGTACAGGTTTTTTTGAAAAATAAATGTTTGTTTTACCTCCCTCTTGGAAAGAGAAAAATAAAAAAAAGGAACACTCAGGCAAACAATTCTATTGATATTTACATAGAACATAGGTGTATATTTGCCCAATAATGTGTTAGCTAGAGAACAAACCATCTGCAGTCCTCCCCCCACTAAAACAAACAAACAAACAAACAAACCTCCTAGGTGTGAGTACCAAAAAATCCTTCTAAAAATCTTCTGAGCTTGTACAGCCTCAGGCTAAAAAGAAGAAAATAAAACCACCCTACTTCTACTCCCTTGGAAGTGGTTCATATTAGCACTGGTGGCTTTGCTCCTCCTTGAAGCCACATGTGGATAACTCTCATCACAGCCAGGTGGTGCAGCTCACCTAATCGTAAGGTGGGTTTGTTCCCCTTGATTTGGAGACCAGTTTTGCCATTAGCTTGATTTGGCCTAGGTGGAGCACTGTGCTCCTGTTGCTTATGTCATGGTTTTAAGGGCAGTCACAGTGATTGACCTGTGAATGATGTTACTGTGTCCTGGTAGTCTGCCAAGGTTTATGTGCATGACCTTGCTCCTGAGAACAGAAGTCATAGGCAAAAGTGCCCAAGGAAGAGGAGCTGAGAGGTTTTCTTCTTTTTTTCAATCTCTTTTTTTGTTTGTTTTAAAATAAAGTTTCTGCTTAAGCCAAAAGAAAATCTGAGTTTGTGGCCTGCCCTCTCCCTGTGTACAGCAGCAAACCTGGCCCTCTTGTGCACCACTGGGCTCAGGACATGTGGCTAGCTGCAATAAAACACAAGTTTCAGGAGACCTTGTTTATCTTCTGCCTTCCCCAGAAATTATTACTGATGTTTTGTGGAGTCTGTTGAAATATTTAAGAGGTTTAAGAAGTCATTGACCATGATTTCTAACAGTAGATTCAAAGCAGAGTATAGTCTCTCTCTGTGAAGTTCTGTACTCCTGAATTAGATGAAATGCTGATGCCTTTAGGGGCAATAAAAATAATTCCAGCTAGTGACAGAAAATGAGTTATAATTCAGGATAATTCTTGGTAGAAATCATATATTGTTTAATTACAGCCATAACAGCTATTTGATTTTGAGATAAGAAGCGGTTACCATAGTGACCCCATTCTTAGAGATAATTTTTGCCTAACACTGTATCAAATGCTGTATGATACCTGCCTTCATAAGAAAGCAATTTATGAAGATGAGTTTTCCTAGTGTTAGGCCTGAGGTATGAACAAGCAACATAAGCTATATATGGAAAAAGATTCCCTGTCTGGTTACTGCCTGAAAAGTCCTATATGCACATTTCCCTGCAAGCACACTCATAGATGTTGTCTCAGATCCAGAGCAAGCTATAAATCTTGCTCAGCTTTCAAGACCATGTAGACTCTGTAGAGGAATTTCAAACCTCTATGGAGTATTAGTAAAAAATGAGAGAAGGAAATCAGAGACGTATTTGTTCCACAGAACAAGCCACCCCCTACTGCCTACCATCAGGGAGGGTAAAAAATGGTATTACTTTGAACAGTCTTTGAGGAAACATACTCTGAAATCACAACCATTGCTAGAGTCAAGCAAAAGCACATTTTGACGCATGAAGTGAAATGCAATCCTCAGTGAGACTGATACAAATTATCATTTGCCAAGACTATCATCTTTTTGGGGCTTCTTTTGGTAATCCTTGTCTATTTCCCCACATCCCTATGGTGGATTTAGAGGGACTGGTCTGCAGGATTGCTGTAGGGATTGCAGACCTGTCCCTGAGCCAAGCTGTGTGGGAAGCTGGGTGTCTGGCTGCCTCCCACCAATAACGTGTCCCAGGCAGCCCATGAGGGTGATGCAGCCCTTTTTGGCTTGGGTTTCCCAGTAGGGAAACCAACTTGCCCATGGGCAGGATCCTGTGGGCAGCCACGGTCATGGTCATGGGGCTGAAAGACAGGGCTGGTTACTGGATCTTTGCTGCCTCGTGCAATCCAGTTGTTTGTCTGCCCTCAGATCAAAATAATTTTGGTTGTTAGAGAAAGTCAGAAAGAGAAAGAGGAAGCACTGACCCACCTGGGTGGAACACATGTTTTCTCATGTCATTGTAGGTTTTCTTTTCATGAGTGATTGCAGTGCTTTGGTATACAACGTCCTATACTACATTCACCCTTCTTTCACTACTTCATGGCCCTTGCTCTGATCCTCAGGGTATCCCTGATTTGGGAGAGTACAGAGCTGACAACCCCTATCCAGTGAACCCTGGGTTTCTTGCTCCTTGAGCTGTCTTCTCCTGCCAAAAATTCCTGATAAACCATAGCTAATCATATAAAAACACAGATGCTCTATCTCCAGGTGTTTAATATACCAAGCCAGCTCAATATGGGCTTAGTTTAGGCTGTTGGGTTTTATTTTTGGAAGTCAGTAGATGCAAACTTCTTCCTTCCCAAAATGGAAAAGGCAGTGGGTGTTTCAAAGGTCTTGCACCCTGCTACAAAGGTGATCCACACAGGAGGAGATGAAAGAGGAATGTGGCCTTTGCAGCTTCCCTGGGATGTGCAGTGAAAGGGCAAGAAATTTCTCTCCCTCTCACTACCGAGCGATGAATATTTTCAAGAGCAGCTTTAATTAAAATGTGTTATGACACATTTCTGCTAAAAGTCATCCAGTCCTGTCCCAAAATACACACGGTACTGAGTCCACTTAGACAACCTGAGCTGTACCTGGAGCATGAGTGGGCACATGCTTTAGCACATGGGATGTTTCAGACTCCTTCAGACTTCATCTTAACCACTTTTGCTTTCCAAAAATGTGAGGAACAAAGGGCAGAGGATTAGATAAGAAAAATCCTAAAGGAGATTTAACACTTCATATTAAAATGTTAAGATGCTAAAACAATTCCAAATATGTATTTAATATATAAATAATTCAGTACCTCATACCAGCCTCAAAGCACTGAATATGAGAAATTAAGGATGTGGATGTGATGACCAGAGCAAGACTTTGCATCATCTCCCAGAAACAGGACTCAAAATACTAGGAAAGTCATCCCCACCCACTCTTAAACACTCAGCATGTTGCCAAATATCTAAAAGCAAAAATTGTAATAACTGAAAAATTGTAAGAAATTATCTTTGTCATGTAAAGCATGAGATGAAAATATCCTTATTCAGCACTGGATCAATTGCCACTGTTCTCCCCACACCAGAGGGCACCCAAGCAAAGGGACCAGGGGCTGAGGAGCATTCCTGCATCTGGCAAGGCTGAGATGGGTTCCCTGGTGCTCTCAGGAGCCCCAGCCCATCCCTCTGAACCCAGGTCCTGTGGCAGAGTGGCTAGAAGGAAAACTGATTATTAATTCTGCTTTTTTTGCTTTGTCACCTTGGATAGCAGAACAGGGCCTCAGGAGGGAGGTGCTGTCCCTGGGAGCAGAGCAAAGCTCCTCAGGCCTGTTGGGAAATGCTGTCAAAGGAATAGCTGAACACCTGAAAATGTCTAGTCTTCCGAAACTTGAAAGAAGGATCTGAATGGTTAGATCCTTTCAACAATTTAAAAAAAAAAAAAAACCAACAAACTCCATCAAACTTTGATTCTGTTTTAATTGCTATTTAGTCGGGTTCAAGTTAGAGCAGTCCCATAAGAGTTAAAGCAGCAAGAGACCAATAAAGCTGGAGGAGGAGGGTTAAGGAAGGGTTTAAATTTCTCTTTTCTCTGGGCAGGTGTGTTTTGGTGTGGGTTCTTTGGGCACAGGAAGGCTCCAGTGGTGCTCAGGTGCCTGAGGCTGAAGGTGGCGGGAGGCGCAGCTGTGCCCGTGAGGCCGCGCGTGCGGAGCTGTGTCCAGCTGGGCCCAGCAGGAGCGGGATGTGCCTGTGGAGCAGGGCTGGAGGCGGCCCTGGGGATGTGTGGAGGCCTGGGGCAGCTGTGCTGTGCAGCCAGGCTGGGAGAGCCGGGGCTGTGCAGCCGGGAGAGGAGCGGGGGCCGGGGAGGCCTGACTGTGGCCTTCCAGTGCCCAGAGGGGGCAGAGAGCCATGGGGGAAGTGTTTTAGACGTGGAAGGGGAAGGTTGAGAGCAGATGTTTGCAAGAGCCAGGAGGGTGGTGAGTCAGCGGAACAGGCTGTGCAGAGAAGCTGTGGATGCCCTGTCCCTGGAAGGTTCCAGGCCAGGCAGGACGGGGCCCTGAGCACCCTGATGGAGCGGGTGGCAGCAGAACCAGGCCATGGCTGCGGTGCCTCCATGGCCTTCTGGAAGTTCATGGGTGAGCAAAGCGCAGCCCCGTTAGCTGGGCATGGAATGTTGGCACCGGTTGCCAGGGGCACTCCTGCTCCCAAGGTTCTGTTGGCACGGAATCTGTTGAGCCAGTTGACGGATTCTCTACTGCGCAGCAGACACAGAGCATCCGTCTTCTCCATCCCGAGTGGGAAGAGAGAGCTGTCTGCTGACATTTGTGAGCCAAACTCTGGAGTGGCTGTACAGGTGAGTGCAGACAACGCTTGACAATTCTGATTGTCATGCTGAGGGGCTGGTCTGGGCTGCAGCGTGGGCTGCAGGTGGGCTCAATGCCAGAGTCACGGACTTCCCCTCTAGCTCCGAACAGGACCTGAAGACGTGGGAATGGGAGTCTTGGGGCATGGGGGTATTCAAGAAAATTGGCATTCCAAATAGATAATCTCCCCTGTACTTTTCTGATAGGTTTGGAAGAGCGGTTTTGAGTCACTCCAAAAAATCTGCAGTGGGCTGCCCAAAGGACACTAAGGGATTGATCACATCCCTGACATTCCTGTCTTGGTGTTTGTCCCACTTACATTGCTGGCGCTATTAGATCACAAACCACCATGAGCTCAGTAAGTAGATCGCTACTCAGTGCTGATCTGAATCTTGAAACATTTTACGGGGTACTTCTAGGAAGCATTTCAAGGGTTTGTAGCAAAAGCACAGGAGTAGAAACCTTTGCAAACTTCACGTAACTTGATGTTCTGGAATAGTGGAAGTTTTGGATTTCTGTGGGTGTTCAGAGCAATAGCTCAGAAATGCTTAGAGTGTGAGCAGGAGCCTGCCAGAATTGGGAACTGGTCTCCTCATTTTCAAGCTGTTGGGACAGGCTCTTTCTTGGTGAGGCAGCTTGTCGGAGATCAGGAGTCATATCTTCTTGAGGAGATGCACATAGGTGGGAATGGCCCATAGCACCATTGGATGCATATTGCAGCCTTTGCAGGAGTGTTTTTGTATCCTTGTGTGCTGTCACTGGTGTGGCAAAAAGCAAGTGTCATGTTAATATGAGTGCGACAGAAAATGCTAAGGCTTTGTTCTCTCTCAGCGTCAGCGAAAGCGCCCGGGAGAGCCTCTTGAGTCCGGACCACCTCGGAAACGGAGAAGGCTGCTGCCCTCCATCGCAGGTGGAAGTTGGCAGGCAGAGGCAAGAGGCCCAGAGGAAAGTGCTTCACCTGCTTTAGGGCCTGGTAAGAAGAAAAAACTACTTCTGGAGGCTTGGAGCTGATTTGAAAGTGTGCTGTTGTCAGTTCCTAGGCCCTGTCCTGTTGAGGAAGGGAACCTTCGGGGTGGAGGAAGCACCTGGTATGGCATCCCTAAACAACAAGCCCACTGGCCGCTGTTTTGGTTTGTTACTGAACTCTATACATTGGCCTCTAGTGGGAGATGAGCTGTGTAGCAAAGGCCCCAGGTGCTGCTCAAACACCTGGATGTGTGCTCTGAGGAGCTGGCAGTGACTGCAGCAGCCACAGTGTCGGTGGCAGGCTGAGTTAGGGATCTGCCAAGCTGGAGAAAGATGAAGAAAAATTAGTCATTAGCTGTGGCCCATTCTTCAGGGGAGCATGGACAGCATGGTACTGTAAAATTAGCATCCCCTCTAGTTTTGATTGTTTCTTTCTCCTGTGTGCTAAACATTCCCCTATGTGAGAGGAATGATCTGTTGGGGTGAACGTCTCATAAGCTGTTGTCACCCAACAGAACTTGTGAGGAGCTCAGGTGCTCTTCCTCTTGCTTTACCCCTTCTGAGGACAGGGCTGACAATGCTCCCTCTGGACTATTGAGGGCAAAGCTTGAGTGAAATCTTTGACACATTCCTGAAACGTAGGGCACATTGAAATGAAGCACAGCCTATTCAACAGAGGCAGCCCATTTCATTGCTCTGCAATCTCCGACCTTCATTCTAATGTTCTCTTCTTTTCAGTTTATGGAGAATTCATAGGTGTGTCAGGCAAATCTTCTGAGGCTGATGTTGTCACTCTTGGTGATGATGATGAATCTCCTATGGTAAGTAGTGACTGGCACACTCCTCTCCATATTGCATGAAGATTAATTTTCTTGCCCTCTGGAATCTTACTAAGTCCCCTGGCCTCCAAGGTTGAAAGATGCCTCTGATGTACCACACTAGACACAGTTCCCAGTCAACCCCAAACACACTCACGAACACATCAGCCTGCCTGAGAATTAGGTGCAGAGAGTGGATGAACAACCTAAAAGAGGTTGTTGCTTCAAGTGATTGAAAAGAGAGCCCATGATGATGAAATGATACCATTTACATTTGGAGAGAAAAAGGCTGCCTGAGGCAGATGTACAGCTTTGCACAGAACCTTGGAGACAAGTGTGGGGGTATGTCAGAGAACGGGGATTACTTGCTTCAAATCCCAGAGATGGCTGACTCACTACACCTTTTTTCAACCAGGACACTTCAGGGCAGGGAAACCCCAAATCCTCCCTAAATGCAGGCAGGGAAACCCCAAATCCTCCCTAAATGCAGAAAACTGAGAGTTAAAGACAGCAGGCTTCTTCAGAGGAAATGTGCCAGGGCTAGTCAGTGCATTTGCATGATTATTTGAGATTTTATGTATGAAGAACCATTGAAGTGTGATGATATTAACAGCTGCATGTTCTTTCTGCTTCTGTTCCCTCTAGTGCAGAGCCAGGAATTGTTATTAAGTGTCCAATTTGCATGGACTTTTACTCGGAGGTAAGGCTCCACCTCTTGTCATGCTTTGTGCTTTGTGGGAGGAGGAAGAAGCCAACAGGGGAGTTGCACAAGTCAGTCGGCTGATGTGGGCAGCTGGCTGGAAGCACAGCCCTTGCTGGGAAG